CTCAGGGCGGCTCACAGCATATTAAAACATTGTACAAAAAGAAATTTTCCCCTGCTAAAAACCAATTAAAATCCAAATATTAGTAGCTGTGGCTCTTTAAAATTGTTTAAAAATTGTCCCTATTTAAAACTCACCTTAGGTCAGGCCCGCTTGTTGAAAAAGCCATGTCTTGAGGGCGCGGCGGAAGGTTAAGAGATCCAGAATCGTCCGGATCTCGGGGGGTAGTTCGTTCCAGAGGGTTCAGGTTCAGGATGTCTCAAGGCTTTGATTTGAGCAATTGTACATAGTCCTGGCATGATTTGCTTGGAGGACACAGAATGATTGTTGAGTGCCTTCTCATCTTTTTTCCAGCGGAAATGAACCTATGGACCCATATACCAAACTTTGCTGCAAAGGTTTTTGCATTGACATCCTAAAGAAACTAGCCAAGACTGTGAAGTTCTCCTATGATCTCTACCTGGTGACAAATGGAAAACATGGTAAAATAGTGGATGGTTTATGGAATGGCATGATTGGTGAGGTAAGGAATTAGGTATCTAAAAGTCACATTGTTTGGATTTTAATCACCTACACCAGGGGTGGCGAACCTATGGCACGCGTGCCAGAGGTGGCACTCAGAGCCATCTCTGTGGGCATGCGCAGCTCCGCCTCCCCCCACAGCCCCCTCCTCACCAGCAGCCCCCCCGGAGAAGAGTCACCCCCAAGCATGGCCCGCACGGAGCAGTGCAGCCAAGGACATGGCAGCTGGGCAGCAGGGACATGACTCCACCCTCGCGCCCTGTCGCGTGCAGTTGATGCTGTGGGGCGCAGGTGGAAGGTGTGGCTGCCATAGCACTGCTGGGCCGCCTGGGTGATCTGCGGCAGGCCGTAGAGGCAGTGGGTGGCCCTGCGGGCGTGGGCAGGGGCAGGGATGGCGGGAAGGGGCTGGTTTTGGGGCACTTGGTCTCTAAAAGGTTCGCCATCACTGACCTACACCTACAGATTTGGTGCACTGGTATTTGTCAGATGTTCTCCGGGTAGAGAAAATGAAATCAGACATGCAACTCTGCTTCTCTTCTAAAGTTATGCAATCCTTCTGAACTGTAACACATGTCTAAAGGCTGACTTAGCTTAGACCAAAGGCAATGAAAATTCTATAACTCCAAGCACATATATACATCCTTCCTGCATCCCTCAACTAGAAAGAACACCCACCACTTAGTAGTCACCAGCATTGTCTGTGGGCTTCAGCCTGAAGAGATGGCAGCCTTAAGAAAATGGCTTTACAAATAGGGAGTTAGTCTATTTCTTGGGCAATCTGTGGAATGTGAAATGGAGCTAGAATCTTATTCTCAGGTTGGCATTGGGATATGCTAACTTGGGAGTGAAGTCTCTTGTCTTTGGATAGTCATGTGTAAAATGCATACCTTCCATTACATGCAACTAACACTAAGTCTGCTGCTCTGTGGTTAGGCCATCCTTTGAATAAGATAACAGGCTGTTGAGTGTCAAGAACCCTACCTCTTGGTGCTGATTGGGATATTTAGACTGACTCCTAATCTGGCAGCCTGCTTTAGGATTTCTCACCTAGGTGAGTGGCAGGGGATAGATTTCCCTGTGCTGCCTGAAAAGAAATAGAAAAATTGAGACATTACACTTCAGAGTTCTCCTCCTGTTTTGTGTTAGCCCCAGAAGAATAGCAATAGCACTTAGACTTATATACCACTTCACAGTGCTTTACAGCCCTCTCTAAATGGTTTACAGAGTCAGCCTATTGTCCCCAACAATCAGGGTCCTCATTTTACTGACCTCAGAAGGATGGAAGAATGAATCAACCTTGAGCCAGTGAGAATCGAACTGCCAAACTGCTGGCAGCTGGCAGTCAGCAGAATTAGCCTGCAGTACTGCATTCTAACCACTATGCCACCACGGCTCTAAACTCTAAATCCTTCTGAACTGGATGTCCGTTCAGAAGCATTTCAAGAACTATATAGTATCGGTAAGAGAAAAAGGGCAGAGTTGTGAAAGAATCAAGCGTCCCACTATTTCTGGTCAAATCTATTCCTTGCTTGTGTCTCTATTGAGAGGACATCAATGGCAATCCTGACATGCAGAGGGGAAAATGGGGTTGGGAGAGCCATATATGGTGGGAAATTGTTTCTTGATGGTGCACAAACACATTCTAAGGGCTGGATTCATCCAGGTACAGAAATTTTCAATCAAGAAAACTCTCTTCTTAAGTACACTTGATCTGAGGTACTGGTAGTATCAAAGTATCTGTAGGGTTGCCATGCAAAGAGGTCCCTTCAAGGTACAACCTTTTTCCCCCCTTGAAAATAAGTCCCACCGAGTTGTGTGAGGCTTATTCCCAAGTAAGCCTGCATAGACACAAAGGCTTATTCTCAACAGGGGGCAGCACCTGGCCAATTTTGTCTGTGCTTGGAAGTTACGCAAGGCTGGGCCTGATTAGAGTTTGAACTGGGAGACCTCCAAAGAAAAACAGGGCTGTGGGCTACATTGGAAAGTTTTAAAAAAGAAGTTGTGAAAGAAAACAACAGGAAACCATTTGTTTATTTAACAGAATTGTATGGCTGCTCATCTTGAAATACAACTCTTCATGGTTCCAACATAACCAAACTATGTCCATCCTGTTTCCAAAAAAACCATATGGATGTATTCTCAAAGTCACCAGGAGTCAAAACAGACTTCAGATCATATTTACCTTTCATTCTTTAATTTGCTAAGGGATGCAAAATGAAAGCAAGCAGAAATGTATTGGTATCTGTATTTGGTGCTGGTTCTGTTGAATGACATTATTATTCATGTCCTCTCTTTCTGTTCTTCCACCTTCCAGGTATATTACCAGCGAGCAGATATGGCCATCGGGTCTCTCACCATTAATGAGGAACGCTCCCAAATTATTGATTTTTCTGTACCTTTTGTGGAGACGGGCATTAGTGTCATGGTAGCCAGAAGCAATGGGACTGTCTCACCCTCTGCCTTTCTAGGTGAGAACAAACAAACATATGCCATCAATATTTTTTAAAAAGTGAAATTTGCAACAGAATATGGCCATATTGAATGCTTCTGTGTTAGTTGGTTATGGATGGTCACTTATGTCCTTTTCACCTCATTTCCTGACTATTGTGATTAATTCTACATGGGCTGCACTTGAAGGTCACTTGGAATCAAAATTTGGCAGCTCATGTGGTCATGGGCTGTCTCCATGTTACCCATGTATCTCCTCTGTGGCAGGAGTTTAAGGGTTACCGGTTGACTTCTGGATGCAATTCAAAGATAATTATTGCCTTTAAACCTTATAGTTTTGGGCCTGAGTATCTTATGAGGCTGCCTACTCCAATTGTTTTCTGTCCATCCAATGAGAATTAATAGAGGTGTCTCCCCTAAGAATGTCAGTGATAGGCTGGTGTCACCCTTTCTCTGGAACAGTTTATCCAGGATATGGTCCCATCCCTGTTGTATTTCAGAGACCTGGCTCTTTTGTAAAGCATTTGTGGATATCATAGATATTTGAGTTGCTCCTAAGGCTGAACGAGGATGCCAGCTCTTGGCTTTTGTTTGACTGTTGTTTAATGTTAATTTTTGATCTTATGTTTGTAGTTTAACATTATTTTGTTGGGGAACGGTTAACTACTCAAAGTCTCAGGATACGAGTTGCCTATAATTTCAAGCAAAGTAAAAAGAAGAAGAAAGTAAATAATTTATGCTCTATACCAGTGGTTCTCAACCTGTGGGTCGGGACCCCATTTGGGGTCGATCGACCATTTCACGGGGGTCGCCAAGCAAGGCTATCCGCCATTTTTTTTGTCCGCCATTTTTTTGTCCATTTTTTCCCCTTTTCCGGCGGGTGCCTTACCTCCCTTGGGCTGGGCCAGCTGGTGGTCGGCCTGCTCCGTCTCTGCCGCTTGCCAGCTACGCCTCGGCCAGCGCAAGGGGCGGAACCACGCATGCGCGGCGCTCCCGGGCAGGGAAAGTCCTCGACTTACGACCGGTTGGGTAGTCCTCGACTTATGACCGGTTTAGTCTTCAACTTATGACCGGTTTAGTCCTCGACTTACGACCGGTTTAGTCCTCGACTTACGACCGGTTGGGGTCATGGCATTAAAAAGGTTGAGAACCACTGCTCTATACATTGATACTCTGTGTCTGTTTTCTATCCTCCCTTTCCTTTACTGAACATGTTCAGTCCCCATTAGACTGTTTTGAGATTTTTAAATCACTTTTACACAGGCATTTCTAAGTATTTTGGGTGACCTGCATAATTTATGCTTTGATTGCTTAAGGAACATCACTCACACCTGGCAATAAAAAAAAGGGAGGAAATTATTTCCTGATGTAAATTTGTATAAGGTGAAGACTTGCAATATCAACATACAGTTGGATGTTTAATATTCTCTAGTTTAAATTTTCAGTGTGAAAATTGTGATTTGGGGAATAGAAATCTTTTCTAAAACACTATGTTTGAATAGGCCATACTTTGGGCATTAATGTTTAAATAACATAACAATATTCATTTTTTGCCATCATATTTGCTGTTATTGCTTCTAAGCCATTCTTTACTTGCTTCATAAAGTATTAATATAGGGTATCTGGGGACTAGGAATTTGCATAATGAATGTGATATCAAATGCTGCATACCTAACGAGATTTGGCTACTTCAATTATGGTCATTGGAAGAAAATAAAAGTTATTGAATATAAAGGCACTTTTTCTTGCACGTAATCAGGTATCCTACAGCAAAGAGCATGACAGGCAATGCAGCATAGCCCAACCTTTGATTGTGTGCAGATATCAGTAAATGACTTTAACTGAGAACGAGAAGAACAGTGTCAATGAAATGAACACAGTGTCAGATATTTTTTAAAAAGTGTTTTGAACCATTGCTAATAATAATTACACCCAAAAATATAGTCTGTCTAAATCCAGCCAAACAGAAGATGTTCTGAACATTCTTGAAATGCACAACATCCAATCCTTTGCATTAGAGAATTGGGCAAGAGTTACAAATTAATATTTTGAGCTGATGATTACAAATATGGAAACATCAGTTAACAGAACAAAGCATACTATTGAAAGGCAGAGCCAAGGTGATGCCCTGCCTCACAAGGTATTTTTCTGCCACTTTCTTGTTCAGTTTGGTTTATAAGAAACCAATAAGGCCCATAATTCCATTATCATTGTCACAAGGTTCCTTCTTCTAGACCGTTGCTTGAATGTCCATCAACTCTTCTGATAGGTCTTCCTTGTGACTGAATGTTTGGAAGCAAGATGATCTTGACTGTTTACTCTAGTTGGCTGGTATTTAACAAATGCCTCTGTTCAATCTCTAGGCACAAAGTCATAACCACTCTGGATCTGGATGAGGAATTAGTTTTTGGCTCAGCATATATGTTTGCATTGGCAGGTGCTAAAAAAAGGGGGGGGGGTCATATTCATTACTGCTGAAAGCAACAGCTTTCTGGAACAGAATGGGATAAGCAAGCTTACTGACATCCTCTTTTGTGGTATATTGGGCAGGGTTGGTATTTGGAAGAAAATACCAACATTATCTTTTGTGGTATATTGGGCAGGGTTGGTATTTGGAAGAAAAAGTGTAGAGAACCCTGGCATTGGTGTATCCATTACTTCTCCTGTTCCGGAAACAGAAGAATAGACAACTAAGCTACCTGCTGACCATTACTGTCACTGTTGCAAATGGGTTAACCAAGCAGACATTCTGTCTCTCAATATTTTCTGGAGTATCTCTGGGTGTAGTATCTTTTCTCCCTGGAAAACAACTTGTTGTATTCTGCCAACATGGAGGTTAAATGCCTGTCTGCATCTGTCCATGTTCTTCTGGAGGCTCTTCCTTGAATGTGTCATGATGCAGGCCTTTGCTGTGATCTTCTTTTTATCTGAATATCTCTTCCCCTCATCAGAGACTCTCCAGGTTCCTCAGTGCCAAACAAAATTGCCCTCAGTTTTAGGTCATCAAGTTACATTTCTAACTGGGAGTATTGGCCTTGGGCTGAATAGGACTGAAGATGGCTTCCCCAGCTCTCTGTTCAGCTGTCTAAATGGCATCTCTCTTGTCAGGCTGTCTGACTCCAGTCACCAGAACAAGGAACTGGCGCTGTCAATCAGAGCTGGGATCGGCAGGTTTTTGTTTTTGGAACAGGAATCAATGAGGTGGTCTGGAACAAAAAACGGATGGATGACACCAGGTCCCTGGTTGCTGTCATCACCCTCTGAAGTCTTGCCAATGCTACAAGGAAAAGGCTTGGGGGAGAGGGAGAGGCAGGAAAGGGAAAGGACAAGATATAGATCTTTCTCTGCCCGGGTGTGTTTGGCATCTTCTTTGTTTCTAAAAGTATCTCTTCACTTCTTCATCTTAATGGTTATTCTTTTCCTTGCTGTTTCGCTCCCTCTCATTTTTTGATTCTTCAGCCTAAAATAGAACCACGAGTAACCCATTCTTCTTCAAGAGACAGCTAAGACTAACACGGAGGAGTTAGCCTCTCTTGGATGGCAAACATTAAAAATAAAATAAAATAAAAGTTGAAGTTTGCCTTCCAGCCAGAAGAGGTGGGGCTAATATTATCCTGTTGGTTCTGTCCTTGGGTGCTTGAGAATGAGCACATATTTTTTTCTAGAAGGGTTGTGTTAAGTACTAAGAATTCTTGAATTCCTGAGAGGTGAACCAGAGCCACCTTCAAAGTCTTTGATCAGACTATAGATGAGGTCCTAGTTAGCCTATATTCTAGTTAAGAATGTTTACAGTATAGCTAAGTGGATAATGAGTTTCTTAAAAAGCCACTGAAGGCTGTTTTTATAACTGTTGACGTATGCATGAAACTGAAGCAGGTTAGGTGCTAAGCCAACTTATTTTGTACGTCTGGCTTCACAGGCCTAGTCTCTCTTCATCATCTGTTATTTTTCCGGTGCCTTGATATGTAAATTTTAGCAAGGTACATATTTTACGTTTCTTGCCTTCATCCTAATTTGCCAAAGGATTTTACAAAGCTAAGATTCAGTCATTTTCATCACCGATTTTATGAATTATTTAATGCTTCTTGGAGAAAAGATAAAAATTTATTGCTCTGATTATTCATTCTGACTGATCATTTTGCTCCACCGTATTTTTGTGGCTGAACCTGATGTCAGCTCTCAAATATATCAGTCACCTTCTGGATTCTTAAGAGTAGTTTGGAAAAGGCATGAAATAAAAACTAGGACAAGTTTTAAACTAGGAAGTCATATCATCTGGATTGGAAAAAGTTCAATTTGATAGAAAAAAATAAAAGCAAGATTTGTTTTTCTCATGCTTGTTAGCATTCCCTCAGGCAAAATCTTTGTTTGGTGTTGATCATCCAATGCTACTTAATGGCCTCAGTTTACGGTGTTGTATATCAATATATTTTTTATTTCAGTGTTTCTTTTTGTTTGGGGTTTATTCTCCCTCCCTCGAGAGAGAGAAAAAGTTAAAAGCCTGAAATAATGTACTTGTTATACTGTATATTAACTAGAACATATGACAATGTCAGTGACTTTTATTGGATAACTGTAGAGACGGAATCCTTTTCTTTTCCAAAGAGACTGGTGGTTAACAGCCCAGAATGGCTCAGTTTATGGGAGCTATTTGTTTGACCATCTCCTGATATAACATCTCATTGGAAAGTTGTGACTGGGAGAGTTGGTAGAATGTGAATAAGGCACATCACTTTCCCTATAGCAGGTCTGAGAAATAGATGGAAGGTAGTTGTGTCAAGGTTAAGATGCTGCACGCATCGACTGGAAGGTTGGCAATTTGAGATCCTAGTATCGTGTGACGGGCTGAGCTTCTGTTCTTGCCTTAGCTCCTGACAACCTAGCAGTTTGAAAATATGCCAGGGCAAGTAGATAAATAGGTACTCTTTGGTGAGAAATTAACAGCATTCCATGCACCTCAGCGTATTGTCATGCCAGCCACATGACCACAGAAGCATCACCGGCTCCCTTGGCTAGGACA